TATATTATTATAATATGTCCCACCGCGTATATTTCATTTCTCGCCTTTCATTGTAAGTCACTGCGCAGGCGTGCTCCGCAGGCGGAGCAATGACTCTTATTCTGATCAAGTCGGGATGCGTTTCGAAAGTTGCAAAAAAATAGGCCCTTATTATTATGTCCGCGACCGTACACCAGATGCGATTTGCATGAGCGCTCTGGTTAATAAAAAAAGTCTCAGAAGCGATGTACTCGGCTATTTTATACAATTTTTTAAATGCAACTAGAATAACTGTATGTTTATTGGATATCAAGCATCGCACGTCGTGTTGTGTTGGTCTGCTAAAAATTTAAATTTGAAATATATAAAGTAACTATCAAAGTAACTATTAAATTAGTTACTAGTTATCAAACAAATGTAACTAAGAAGTTATAGTTATAGATAAAAAACGGAATGAAGTTAAGTTATAGTTACCATAAAAAAATAACTGTAACTTCGATACAAGTAACGAGTTACTTCTCAACCCTGTATATAAGATACACAAACTAAGTTATATAAATATGTGGTGGTCGACCCTCTCCCGCCATCTACGGCGACGCCTGCGAGTTCGTCGCCGCTCAGCAACCTAACCACCGCAAGCAGATGCTTCAGCCAAGGGCATTCTTCTGAGCTCCCGGTCACGTGCCCGCGAATCATCCTGCATTCGCGAAGCGAATCTGGTTCCGACTGTCGTCGTGCACAGTCGTTCTCAACCAGAGAGTCCGATTTCGTTCGCCGCCGTGAACAGTCGTGCTCATCGCAATAGCTCTTCACCGCGCATCGCGTGCAGCAGCTCTCATCGCGCATCGCGTGCAGCAGCTCTCATCCGCGCATCGCATGCAGCAGCTCTCATCCGCGCATCGCGTGCAGCAGCTCTAATCCACGGATTGTGCGCAGCAGGTGCTCAGACGCGCACCACGTGCGCTCGTGCCCACCCACGCCGCGCGGGCTGCCGCAGCAATTCGCCAACGACTGCAACATACATTTCGTGCTTTCGTCTGCATCGCCGACCCGCGTCGCGTGCAGGCCGCTGCTTCCTGTGTGAGTCTCGTCTTTGTTGTTCGTCAGCGAGTCTCGCCCCGTCGCGAACATTACCGCGAGTGTACTACGTCGCGTACGTCATTGCAAGTGTCCGCAACGTGCTTTTCCGCAAGTGCTTCCATCGTGTGCATTCTCGCAAGTACGTCTCGCTGCGCTCGCCTACGCGAGGGGCCATCGCCGCGGGTCCTCCGTGAGCGCATTCTCGCCGTGAGCTTTCGCGTCCCGCACGCCCGCGTGTCTTCCGCGCAATGCCCGTCCACGTGTGCACCGTGCGTTTGTTTTCGCGTGATCACGTGCGTGCCGTGCGTTTATCTCGTGCGATCACGTGCGCTTGTTTTCGCGCATTTACAGTGCCATTGCGTGATCGGCGTTACTTAGTCAGCGTGTGTTTGTCCTAGCGAGTTTCTTGTTTTGCGTGTGAGCCACTTGGCTCATGATAGTGCGTCACCTTTTCCTGTCTTTGCGTACGTGCCGTTTTGGTTCGACACGGGAAAATAATAGAGTTTTTTTTACGCCTACTCGATAGTCACTCAGTTTCTCGTGTCCTCGTACGCAGTGTGCAAGAAGTCGTCGCTCGTCCGCCACGTGCATGGCGAGCTGGGTCACGGGTCCGGGTGTCCCCTTTAATCTCCTGTATGTGGAATGTGAGCGGAGGCCGTGCGCGCTTTCGCGTATGCCAGACATTACCGCGCGCCCTCACAAGAGGATAGCTGGTGACCCCGACGTGATTCCATGCGTGAGTGGGATCGTGTCAGTGACGCATCTAACGTGTGCTTTGAGTGCGCGAATTTTTTTTTTGAGACTTCGTTTGGTCGGCCGAACGATGCTGCGATCGCTGCCCTCGCAGCACAATGAAAATGCCGAGGCGGTGGCGCACACGGCTGCCCATCCAAGGGGGGATGCGCCCCATGTCTGCGACGTCCCTACCGCACGCGGTTCCTCGCGTGTTCCAGACGCGGTCGATTCGGTTCAAGGCCGCCTTCCGTCCTTTTGGAGGAGCAACCCCGAGTTGTGGTTTCTACAGGTGGAGGCCGTCTTCTAGGCTTTGAGGGTGTGCAGTGACGAGACGAAATACAGCCTCGCTGTCTCACTTCTCGATCTCGACTCTCTACAGGAGCTCTCGGACGTCATACGCTCGCCGCCAGCCGACCGGAAGTACGACCACCTGAAGTCGGTCATATTGGCCCGTTTCTCGGATTCAGCGGATCGCCAGTTTCTCAGGCTGCTGACGCAGCTCGAACTCAGCGATCGCAGGCCTTCTCAGCTTCTGCATCAGATGCGCATAGTTGCCGGTGCCAGGGTCTCCGAGGATGTCATCCGAGTCAAATGGCTTGACTTGTTGCCTGTGGCTGTCCAGCGGATCCTCAAGATCCTCAAGTCTCACGGTCTGGAGGAACTGGCCGCTGCAGCGGACGAGCTGCTTGAGAACGGGCCCACTTCTCGGAGGTCGGCGTGCAAGCGTCCCAGCCGATGCGCCACGTGTTCGGTCGCGTGTTCTTTCTCGCCGCAGTCCGACGTAGCGTCGGAACTGGCGACCATCAGGGTCGCGCTGGCGCGCATAATTACCCTGCAACGCAACATTCTGAACTGTCTGTCGGCACTTTCCACTGACGCTGTAACGGTCGTGCCTCCGGGTTCGGTTTTCTAGTCGATCCGACCCTGTGCATCGGATCGTTTGCTCCGATTCGAGCGCAGGAAAGATTTTAGGAGAAGGTGTGTGTGTCAATAATAGTGTCAATGTGTGTGTATAGAAAATGAATCTTACTCGTCTTTACGTAGCGACCGCGTGTTATTGCGCGGTGTCCCAATGTTTGAGTGTTGTTTTGTCGCGCGGCTTTATTTCGCTATCGTCGCTGTGTATAAGAGTGCCCGCAAACGCGAGAGAGTAATTTACTCGCTGGACAATTAAGTAATGTTGCGGGCGTCGGACCGTGCAAGGCGTTCACAAAATAAATATGCGGACATAAGTTAACTGCAGTCTATAGCTAATCGTAACGGAGAATCGAGCGGTTCTCTGAAACGGGGAATTCGAGACGCGCGTTGCCGGTGTATTCGGCTAGATTTTAAAAGGCCGTGCCTTCGGTACGAGCCACGACGGCGGGTCGCAAGAACGTTTATAAAAACGCGTCGCGTCACGTCGCGTTATCTCTCACGCGGCGTCTAAGTATAAGAACGTATCGGTGAAGTGAGGTGCGAGAACAAAACGCGTGTTTCTTTATTTATTCGGCCGAATCTCCCACAGGCGAAGCGTAAATCGAGATGAATATCTTTGTCTCCTTTATCAGGAGAGCGGGACGCCGTGGGTTTTTCTTGTATTATTACAGGATATGATGGGTTTCGGATCGCGGCGCGGCAGGCGCCGATAGCCGGGCCGCGTGACCGGAGTTCACGGTCGGTGGGGCGAGGTCCTACGTAGCCGTGTCCTTGCCTCTCCGGAATCCTATATGATGCAGAGCGAAAAAAAAAACATAATTACGAGAGCGTTTCAGAAAACACACCGGAGTAACGACAAATTCGCCGTTCGATCTCTATATTGCAAAAGACGGCACAAAAACGGGAGATCGTTCCGGAAAACATACCGAAGCAACGACAAATTCGCCGTTCGATCTCTATATCGCAAAAGACGGCACAAAAACGGGAGATCGTTCCGGAAAACATACCGAAGCAACGACAAATTCGCCGTTCGATCTCTATATCGCAAAAGACGGCACAAGAATGGGAGATCGTTCCGGAAAACCTACCGGAGTAACGACAAATTCGCCGTTCGATCTCTATATTGCAAAAGACGGCATAAGAACGGGAGATCGTTCCGGAAAACATACCGGAGCAACGACAAACTCGCCGTTCGATTTATATCGCAAAGACGGCATAAGAACGGGAGATCGTTCCGGAAAACACACCGGAGCAACGACAAATTCGCCGTTCGATCTCTATATCGCAAAAGACGGCACAAGAATGGGAGATCGTTCCGGAAAACCCACCGGAGCAACGACAAACTCGCCGTTCGATCTCTATATCGCAAAAGACGGCACAAGAACGGGAGATCGTTCCGGAAAACATACCGGAGCAACGACAAACTCGCCGTTCGATTTATATCGCAAAGACAGCATAAGAACGGGAGATCGTTCCGGAAAACACACCGGAGCAACGACAAACTCGCCGTTCGATCTCTATATCGCAAAGACGGTACAAGGACGGGAGATCGTTCCGGAAAACACACCGGAGCAACGACAAACTCGCCGTTCGATCTCTATACCGCAAAAGGCGAAACATAATCGTAATCGCCGATGATGGCGGCCTGGTAGATTACTTACGTGATCTGCAGGAGCTTCTCTGTAGATTCTCTGACATTTTTTGGGGAAAAACGATCTGTTGAAACGGAACTCTGAAGACTATCCCTCGTAAAAAATCTGCCGGGATTATATACCTAGGAATTTTTAGCTTCAGTTTTCCCCGGATATTGATCGGTGATAATTCCGAATTTGATCAGAATTAATCGTGAAGATGCGGCCAGCGCCAATTATTTTGTCGGCGACGCCGCGAGTGTCGTTTGGGAGCCGAAGGTTCCCGAGCGTGGCTGTCTGTCGTTCGGCCGCGGTCGTGTGAACGCTTGCTGACTGCCGCGTGATGTTCAGCGGCAGTCAGCATAACGACTCAAAAATTTTGTGCCGTTACAACGCCGCCCCACGCTCTCCGTCAGGAAGACGCTCCGGGCCGCGCGGCCAGTCGCCGTTGCCTATGTCTGCCGCCGGACTGTGCCATTATCACCGACGCTGGGGAGTCGATGCGCAGCGGTGAGTGACGCCGTGCACCTACTACGGTTCTTCTTCGGTCTCATCCTCCGCTCCGGGAAACTGATCGCGCCCGCGCTGGAGCATTCGTTGCGGACAGAGGCACCGATCCCGGAAAACCGACTGCATATTTACAAGCGAGTGACAGGGATGAAGTTCCTCGTGGACTCAGGTTCAGTGACTTCCCTCTTGCCGAAGAAGAAGGTGCGTAGCAGGATATCAACACAGAGGCCCACGCTTCTTGCCGCCACGCTACGCCTATAGCCACCTACGGGACGTACTCCCTGGTGCTCGACCTGGCGCTTCGGCGAGCCTTCGAATGGCGGTTTGTCGTGGCGGACGTCTAGACCGCTATTTTGGAAGCCGACTTCCTGGCGCGTTACGGTCTCCTGGTGGACGTCGGGGGCCGTCGCCTCTTGGACTCTGTGACCTCGCTGCAGACGCAAGGAGTCATTGGCTGGGCTAGAGTCCACAGCATCGCCATCGCACGGGGGATCAATGTGCCAACGGGTCAACTTGGTGCGCTACACGCGCATGTTGGCGGAGTTCACGGACCAGTCTACTTGCGATCGTGCCTCCCCGCCGAGGGATGACGGGGAAGTGCAACATTACATCGTGACCACGGGGCTACCGTGTTTCGAGCGACCTCGCCGTCTGTGTGGCGCCCGGCTCGCCGCCGCTAAGTTGGAGTTCGACGCGCTGCTCCCTCGGGACATCGTCGGGCCCTTTTCGAGCCAGTGGGCCAGTCCGCTCCACTTAGTTCGCAAGAAGTCAGGAGGATGGCGTGCTACAGGGGACTATCGCCGGCACCGCGCCAGACCGGTATCCGCTCCCCAAAATAGAAGACCTCCTGCAGGACTACTACGGGGCCACCATCTTCTCCACGATAGACCTGGAGCGGGGTTACTCCGTGCCCGTCACCTCGGAGAACGTTCCGAAGACTGCCGTCACCACATCCTTCGGCCTCTTCGAATTCCTGGAGATGCCTCTGAGGTTCAGGAACGCGTCACAAATGTTTCAGTGCCACGGACAGTGTCATGGACATGATGCTGCGAGGCCTACCTTTCGTGCACTGCTACTTGGACGACCTTCTGGTTCTGTCAGAGTCACACGAACAGCATCTTGAGCATCTGCGCCAGCTTTTCGACGCTCTACGCGGAGCAAGTCTGTCCATCAACCTGGACAAATGCGTCTTCGGCCAAGACTAGGTCGTCTACTTGGGGTACATAGTCTCCAAACAGGGATACTGTCCGCCGCCTCATCGAGTCCAGGCAGTCCGAGACTTCCCGCTGCCGCGGACGGTGGCCGACCTACGCAGTTTTCTGGGGATGCTCAGTTTTGATAGGCGCTGCATCTCCGGAGCTACGCAACTTCAAGCTCCCTTACACGAGTTCCTCAGAGGCGCCAAAAAGAGGAACCGATCAGAGGTGCCGTGGACAGACGACGCCAGGAGCGCTTTCGAGGCATGCCGGAGAAGTATCGCCGCGGCTGTCGGACCCGCCTTCCTCCGGCATTCCGCTAGCCCTCACCACGGACGCCTCCGACACCGCCATAGGCGCTGCCCTGGAGCAGCGCGAGAATGATGGCTGGAGACCGATCGGTTTCTTCTCCCGCAAATTCAGCGAGGCTGAACGATGCTATAGCACGTACGACTGAGAGCTATTAGCTATCATTGCGGCCGTGAAGTATTTTCAGCGGATTCTAGAGGGGCGCTCATTCCTGGTGCGCACCGACCATCGGCCGATCATCTTCGCTCCGCAGCAGCGTTCGGACAAGGCGTCACCGCGGCAGCTAGATTACCTGTTCCAATTCCAGGTCACCTTCGACTACGTAAAGGGGCAGGATATGAGACATCGTGCATGCCGACCATCCTAGACGCCGCCACCATCGCAGAGGCTCAGGACAACGACGACGAGCTGCCGCACCTTCAGGATAACGTCTCGGTGCCGCTCCAGCGTCTGTCCATCGAGGGACCTGATCTTCTCTGCAGCAATGCCACGGACCGAGTCCGGCCGTACCTGCCGTCCTCGCTCCGCCGGCAGGCCTTTAACGTGGTCCATGGACTGTTGCACCCCAGTGGCTGTCTCACGATGAGGGAAGCGTCTCAGCGGTTCTTCTGGCTTGGCATCAAGAAGGACGTCGCACGCTGGGCGCGTGAGTGCGAGCCGTGCCAGCGCGCCAAGGTCCTCCGGCACAACCGCTCAGCCCTGGGCAGCTTTGCCTCTCCAGACAACCGGTTCGACCACGTCGACGTGGACCTGATTAAACTGCCGCTAGTTGCAGGTTTCCAGTACTGCCTCACTGTCATCGACCGTTTCTCCAGGTGGCCAATCGTCGTTCCGCTGCGCGACATCTAGGCGGAGACGGTCGCAGCAGCCTTTTACAACAACTGGGTCTGCCACTACGGTACGCTGCTCACGATCACGTTGGACCAGGGCACCCAGTTCGAGTCGGCGTTTTTCATGGCTCTGGCGCAGCTAGTGGGCGCCAAGCGCATTCGGACCGCTCCGTACCATCCGCAGTCGAACGGGATGGTAGAGAGGCTCCATCGTTCAATCAACGCGGCGCTCATGTATAGCCCGCAGTCGCCGTGGCCAGATCTGTTGCCGACAGTCCTCCTCGGGCTGCGCATATGCGCCAAGCAAGATCTCTAAGCGTTTCTGGCGGAGATGATATATGGCACCGCTCTTTGAATCCCCGGAGAGTTCTTCGTCATGGAGAACCGGCCATCCTGCCCGCGCGCCTTCCTGACCAGCTTCCGACGACTCATCCGAGACATCAGGCCCGTTCCAGCTGTCCACCACATCGTGCCACGGACATTCCGGCTCGAGGACATCGACACGTGTACCTACGTGTTCAAACGAGTGTAGTACATTCGCAGACCGCTGGAGCCGCCTTACTCAGGCCCACATGAGGTCATTAGACGTCTCAACGACTGCTCCGTCGTCATCAGGGTCCACGACGCAGAAAATACGGTCTCGGCAGATTGTCTCAAACCGGCCTATTTCGCTCCAGTGGATACAGCCCAGGATGCCCCCGGGCCTGCCACCAGCAAGAACGCCTCCGGGCCTGCCATTAGCAAGGATGCCCCTGGGCCTGCCAGCCAGGACAAGGAACCTTCACGTAAGGTCAAGCGTGTTTCGTTCCTTGCTCCCCCGCAAGGAACTAGGGGGGAGTGAATATGGCGGTCGATCCTCTCCCGCCATCTACGGCGACGCCCGCGAATTCGTCGTCGCTCAGCCGCCGCAAGCAGGTGCTTCAACCGAGGGCGTTGTTCTGAGCCCCCGATCACGTGCTCGCGAGTCGTCCTGTACTTGCAAAGCGAGTCTGGTTCCGACTGTCGTCGTGCACAGTCATTCTCAACCAGAGAGTCTGATTTCGTTCGCCGCCGAGAACAGTCGTGCTCATCGCAATAGCTCTTCACCACGCATCGCGTGCAGCAGCTTTCATCGCGCATCGCGTGCAGCAGCTTTCGTCCGCGCATCGCGTGCAACAGCTCTCATCCGCGCATCGCGTGCAGCAGCTCTCATCCGCGGATTGTGTGCGGCAGGAACTTAGACGCACACCACGTTCGCTTGTGCACACCGATGCCGCGCTGGCCGCCGCAGCAGTTCGCCAACGACTGCAACAGACATTTCGTACCTTCGCCTGCATCGCCGACCTGCATCTGCCTGCCCGCCGTCGCGTGCAGGCCACCGCTTCCTGGGTGAGTCTCGTCTTTTGTCGTTTGTCAGCGAATCTCGCCCTGTCACGAACATTACTGCGAGTGTGCCACATCGCGTACGTCACCACGAGTGTCCGCAGCGTGCTTTTCCGCAAGTGCTTCCATCGTGTGCATTCTCGCTAGTGCGTCTCGTTGCCTACGCGAGGGGCCATCGCCGCGGGTCCTCCGCGAGCGCATTCTCGCCGTGCGCTTTCGCGTCCCGCGTGCCTTCCACGCAACGCCCGTCCAGGTGCGTACCGTGCGTTTGTTTTCGCGCGATCACGTGCGCGCCGTGCATTTGTTTTCGCGCGTTCACGGTGTCGTTGCGTGATCGGCGCCTGCCGTTACTTAGTCATATTTGTCCTAGCGAGCGTTTTTCGTTTTGCATGCGAGCCACTTGGCTCGTGATAGTGCATCGCCTTTTCCTGTCTTTGCGTGCGTGCTGTTTTGGTTCGACACAGGAAAATAATAAAGTTTCTCTTGCGCCTACTCGATAGTCACTCAGTTTCTCGCGTCCTCGGTCGTGGTGTGCAAGGGTTCGTCGCTCGTCCGTCACGTGCACGGCGATCAGGGGCACGGGTGCGCGTGTCTCCTTTAACCTCCTGTGTGTGGAGTGTGAGCGGATGCCGTGCGCGCTCGCGCGCGCGCGCCAGATGTCGCCGCGCGCTCTCCGGCCCTACAAATATATTATTTGAATGTTGAATATACAGGGTGTCTCATAACTAACCTGGCAGAGCTCGTGGAGACATAGAGCGGGTTAAGACAAATATAAAATTCCCATATCGTTTTGTGAGATTCGCAACAATTAGCGAGTTATTAATGACAAAAATTAGAGGAATGAGCGCGCACCGAAATGTTATGAGAGGAGCATCTAGCCGCTCAGGCTAGAGAGCACTGCCCAGTCGACAAAGGAACTGTTGCCGACGCGCGGTGAAGGGAAGGACAACGCGCCAATGTTTATGTCCTTACCTTGCCGTTCCTACATCCCGCCGCACCGCGTCTATGCTCGCGCCGAAATGGCCGCTGAATATTCGCGATTACAATTACGAGATTATTTTATGAGGTACCACAGACAGCTCATATTGAATTATAAAGTTCAAGGTTCAAAAGTTCTTTGATCAAGGAAAACATCGAGAAGGAGAAAGTGATAGAGAGCAATGAGATCTACAGAAATTCTCATCGTTTTCTATCGCAATCTATCGTTTTGCTGCATCGGATCCGAAAGAAATGATATCGCGTAAAGACAGAGTACGATGAACACTTTTCATCGTACTCTATTGTACTCTATCGTTAGGAGAATATTTAATTGTTAGAGTATGATAGAATTCGCGTAGAGACTCATCGTGTCCTATCGTTTTATTCAAGTCTACACGGAAAATATGTTTGGTTGAATGAACCCATTCTCTGACGAAATGAGAGAGAGAGAGAGAGAGAGAGAGAACGATTAAGAAATTTTGATTGAAAAAAGCACAATACAAGCGAGGTATTAAGTTCCTATATAAGATAATGCCTCTTGATAGATATTGGAAACGTATTATATTATACGTGTATAAATTATTATATATACAGAGTGATTCAAACCACTCGTACAGCCCTTTTATTTCGGAAATAGAACATTTTAGAGATAAATATTTCAGACAAAAGTTGTAGGGCTTCAAAGGATCTATTTACTGATGTTATGAATTTAACCTTGGTCTTAAATGGATATCTCAATTTTTTATTATATCGTTTTTTTCCAGCAATTAATTTGAACAACTTTTGTCTGAAACATTTTTTAATTTTATTTAAGGAAAATTTAATAACTTTCTCAATATTTAACTCACGATATCTCGCTAACCATTTGTCAGAAGAAAAAGTGGTACTAGAGTTTTTTGCTCTATTTAGTCTTAAGAATATATTTTTACAATAGCGCTTGACTTTTGTTTGCTGATTTTTTGAAATTTCAAAATCATCAAATTAACCAAATTCATGGCGCTATTGGAACAATATATTCTTGAGACTAAATAGAGGAAAAAACTCTAGTACCATTTTTTCTTCTGACAAATAATTAGCGAAATATCATGAGTTAAATATTGAAAAAGTTATTCAGTTTTCCTTAAATGTGTCACAAAATATTAGTTAAATAAAATTATTACAAATTTAAATTATTTTTTTTAAGTATATTATAGTTATTAAATATATATTAAGTTTTTTAAGTATGTGTACATAACATAAGTTTTTACAAGTAAAACTTATACAAAAGAAGTGATATATTAAAACAGTAACACCAACTGAGAAATCATATACTTAATATTTTTAGAAATCTCATTCAAATTATTTCCTTTTTCTAAGATATATATTAATTATGTACATAACATAAGTTTTTACAAGTAAACATGATATTTATTAGTACATTGAGTTATATGATTATTTTACTTATTATTATAATAAAAATGATATCATGTTATAAAAATTTTACACATTTATTAGTAGTGTCCAATATTTAATTTATCATTATTTATTAGAACACTGAGTTATATGATTGTTTTACTTGTTATTATAATGTACTTAACATAACTTTTTTACAAGTAAAAGTGATTATATGTAAAATTTATATTAAAACAGTAGCGCCAACTGAGAAATCGTATACTTAATGTTTTTAGAAATCTCAAATTCAAATTATTTCCTTTTTCTAAGATATATATTATGTACATAACATAAGTTTTTACAATTAAAAATGATATCATGTTTTAAAAATTTAACACGTTTATTAGTAGTGTCCAATATTTAATTTATCATTATTTATTACAACACTGAGTTATATGATTGTTTTACTTGTTATTATAATACTTAACATAATAATAACATAACAATAATAATACTTAACATAACTTTTTACAAGTAAAAATGATATCGTGTTATAAAATTTTAACATGTTTATTAATAGTGTTCAATATTTAAAAAAGGTATCTTTTTAAAGGTTATTATTACAAATTCAAATTATTATTTTTTTTTAGGTATATATGTGTACATAACAAAAATCTTGGCGCGGCTGCACCAAAAACTATATCGAAGATGTATTAGGAGCGCAAAAAATTTCTGAGCCTTTTTTTGCAAAATTCAAAATTTATTTAAAACAAATTTATTTTAAACAAAATTTATTTTAAAAATAAACAAAACTACATTAATCAACGAAATATTCCCCGTTTGCATCGATGACCTTTTGCCATCTTTCGGGCAGCTTGCAAATTCCCTGATGGTAGAAGCTCACCGACCCTCGTCGAGTGCGAGGCGTGGTGCGAGCAGCGCCGTGTGCTGGCCCGGGCAGTGGGGTGCAGGATGGAGGACCTCTCGCTCCCGTGCATGGTGCGGGAGCGAGGAGGTATGGGGGGCCTCCTTCTGCAAGAACGTAATGTCCCAGAAGGAGGCCGCCGAGTGGGAGCGCCGACCCGACCCGGACCGCGGAGTGCGGGGGGATCGAAGGCGGCGCTCCCCAGGGGGAGAGGAGAGCGACTCCGAGGAGGCGCCGGCCGGGAGGAGGCGGCGGAGACCGGTAGTCCGGGCTCCGTGGCCCCCCCGGCCGCCTCGGGGTCGACTTCGGACGCGCGGGGGAGGAACGCGGGGAAGGAGGTGAATGACCTCCCCCCGCATTCCCTCGCGCGTCGGTTAGGTTAGGACAGGGGGAGCGAGGCCCTCTGGGAAAGAGCCTCGCTCCCTCCCCCCCCAGAATGAGAACTCTAGGGGAGAGGGCGGGGAGGTGGGGGTGGGTGTCCCCCCTCCCACAATAGTCACCGGAAGGCCAACCCGGTCGGCTCAGCCGACTGGGGCGCCGCGCCCTGTACCTTTTCCTCAAGGAGAAGGGGGGCGCGACACTTGGGCGTGGGGCCCGACAACGAGCCCTGGGGCCGGAGTGTCGGGGAGGAAATGCTGGCGCAGTTCTCCTGACTCCCCCCATCTCGGTCCGACTGGTAG